GCTCTCATGCGCACGCGCCTGTCCTTTTGCCATCACGCGTGAGCACAGCGGACACGGGCTCGGACGAAGCGTGCTCGTGTGCAGGAACTGGGCGGTGCGGAGAAGGTCGATGATAAGAGCAGCCTGCAGGTTACAGAATTGGCGTGCCGTTGCACCATGGCGCGTTGGAAGGGGATGGAGAGAGAGGTGACCAGTTGGCAATGGGGGAAGAGTGCGTGCTGCGGTAGTGGGGTTTTCCCTCAAATGATGCAGCATCGCTGTCACAGGGCCGGCAGTGGGTTGGTGTCATTGACGCGTGGCATGGGCCGCACGGACGAGCGCCTTGCAAGGGTGTGCACAACTGTGTGTGGACCAGCCCAGGCGCAAACAAAGGCGGTCAGAGCTGGCCGACTTTTGTTTGCTCGATGCTCTCGGAACGGGCCCTGCATGCGTCACACAAGCCCCATTCACCCGAAACCTCCCCAGCAAGTACACCCCCGCATGCCAAGCCAGTCGTGCTTTTGGTTGCAAAGCGGGCAGCAGGCTGCAGGGGAGGCTGGTGTACGGACCTGCAGCTTGACAGGCAGCTTGCTGGGCGCAGAGCCGGCGTCTTTGGAGGCCTCGTAGCCGACCTTGCGGCCTAGCACATCGAGCAGATCCGTCGTGGGGGCGACCACCACCCAGCCCGCGCCGAGCAGCTGGTCGCGGATCCTGATGTAGTTGTCGGGATCCTGGACAATGGAATAACGTACGTGCGTTCGTGTGCGCGCAAGTGCGCGTGTGTGTGAGTGCGTGTGTGCGTGTGTCAAGGGATGTGATGCACATGTACGACTTCGCAGATCCGTAAGCACAGTGGTGAAATTCCCGCTATGGTTTGTTGCAATTCGGGGTCTGAAGGAGCATGAAAGTGGGTGTGTGGGGTTGACTCGGCCGCAGTTTTACCTGCTCTTGGGGTTGGGGTGGTTGTTGTTGTTGCAATGTTGTCCTGTTCAATGCGTTCACGGTCTGCATCCAGGATTAATCCTGAGAAAGTGCTGGCTGCAACCCCACCCCTGCCACCCACCAGCCTGCAAGCGGCCGTGTGTCTTCAATGGGCCGCCGGCGCAGCAGCCAGGCTGTGGCCATCCGCTTTGATTCCCTGAACCCTGTGTTCATCCCTAACCCTTGGGCGTACGCGCCTGCATGAAGCCGTGCCCAAACACCACTGTATTGAGACCGCGCGCGTTCGCCAGGGACGCCACGCCGTATGGGAGGTGGATTTCGGCGTAGGCGAGGCGCGAGGTGTTGAGGACGCCCCTATCTTTCAGCTCCTTGAGCGCCCTGGGGTTGAGCAGGCTCTGCGTCAGGGGCAGGCGGGATGGCGGGGGGTTGCAAGACGGTTGTGGCGGCGCGGTTTCGGCTGCAGAGCTGGACTTGTGTGCCGGTGCAGCTGCGGTCGCATGGATGCATCGGGACGGTGGAGAAGGGAGGTAGGGGGCGGCGCATGTCGAGGGTTTTTAGGGGGCGCTGGCGTCGATTCTGGGTGAGGCTCGTGGGGTGGGGTCTGCGCAAAGCTGTTTAAATGCCGTCACATATGAGTTTGCGGTGGTGTGTGGGTGCAAGTACGGGGCAGCTTTGGGCTGAGTGGCCTCCCGCAACGAGGCCACGTGGCAGCTGCGCCCCTCTGTGAGAACCCCTAGGTGCCGGCTGCTGTTTGGTGTGCATGGCCTGAGCCACCATCGTGCCTGCAGCTGCCCTGAGCTGTGCACCACAAGCTTGAGTTGCATTCGGTGTGCAGTCGGGCAGCTCTGTTGTGCTTGCTGGCGTGGCGGCCGCGTGACCCGCGGTAGCTGCTGCGCCCGGCGCCCGCCCAACACAGCTGCACATGTGTGCGGGGGTGGCACGGGGCCTGGTGTTACTCACTTCCGTCAGTGGGGGCAGTTTCTGTCGGAAAGTGGTGTGCTTGCCCGTGGCCGCGACACAGCATTTGGCCAGGTGTTGACGGGAGGTCTGCGGGCGGCGGCCGCTGGCGAGCCTAACAGGGCGAGCTACAGCTTGCATCATCATCATGGCTTGGGTGGCAGCAGGGGCAGGAACGAGAAGGGAGGGTTTGCTTACGTGGATGAGCGCGAAGTGGACACTTGAAGGAGGTGTCCGTGACACACGAGTGATTGTGGTTTGATGGCGAATTTGGCATGACACACGGCCACTACGGCGAAGCGACACGTGAGTCCGTGAGTCCCGTCACGTCACGGGTGGGGCACCACTCCCGGTGACCGGGCGAGAGGCAGGTCGCAACTTTTAACAGATGATTCCGTCATGATAGTTATCGAAGTGGTATCGATCGAGCCACACACGGCTAACGAATCGCAAGATACTGATGTGCGCAGCTGCAGATTTGGTTGGCTGGAGATGGCGACAGCATCACGGCTTGAGTTTGTGCAAGAGGCTTTGATCTATGCTTTTGATTACTATTCATCACGTATCACCTCCCAAATCCCTTGCGTTGCTTGATTCGGTGCTCGCGGGGCGTCCCCTGGTGCTGGTCGGCCGCGCGAACGGTGGATACATGCTTATCATGATTATTAGGTGATTATACGGCTTGCTGGACTCCATCATCGATTTTGCACACCCCCCTTGTGGGACCCCCCTTCCGTTTGGAGGGCAGGGCGGCACCGATGAGCCGAGGGGCGGGCGCGCGCGAGAAGTCAAAAGAAAACCCTGTATGGTAACAAGTATACCACTGCAGCACCGATGCACGTTGCTGCAATCCCTGGCCTGGCGGCGCCGTGCAAGCACGCACCCCTCTCGAAATCGTTGTCCCTGCTCACAATATATGATTGACTACATTGCCTGCTGCGCCGGGACAGGGGCTCTCCATGCATGCCACAAGTTGAACTCGTAGGTCACACATCCCAAACCGCAATGCGTAGGTGGCCCCCAAAGAGCGTGGCCCACGCCCGGGGCGTTGATCTATCCGCAGCCACGCACCGCAGTGGTGCTTTCCAAACTTGTCGCAGCTCACCATATATGAGTGACCATTTTGCCTGCTGCATCGAGGCGGGGGCTCCGTGCATGCGTAGATTTGAGTGCATGTGTTGACACACGCCAGCTCGCAAGGAGCAGGTGGCCCCCCCACATGAGTGTGGGCGTGCATTGCCCCGCGGCCAATGAGGCGCTAATGTCCAAAATCACTGTCGCTGCTCAACCTGTATGAGTGTATAAAATTTCCCGCTACGCCGTGTCAGGGGTGTACTGCCGTGTTGGCGCGCCGCTGCCCGGCAGCTGCCTTGGCTGCTGACGGCCAAAAGCGCGGCAACGCTTGCGGCGCGCCATGAGTGGTTGTGGGCAAGTCAATAACGCCGCGATCAACAGCGAGTAACAGCGAGGTTTCGATTAGCCTGGGCTCCGATCGCCAGCCGAGCGAGGGCGCCCCTCACAATCAGTTTGGTTCCCCCAAAGGGAGTGGTTTTCACAGGATGTGTGCGCGCCTCACCCCGTCAAAATCAATTACCGTCCGTGGGCAAAGGGCACTGTGCGAGAATGCCATCCTGCGCCTTGTGTGAGTTCGAACATGCTTGCCGCCTACACTTTGCGTGCCAGCAGATCCTTGCCGCTACGCCCAGCGCAGTCAGCGCTTGGGTTTGTTCGGTCCACAGCGTGCGCTCCCGTGTCACCCGCTCCCTCGCTTGCAAGGGGGGGCGCCGGCAGTCGGCTGCCTTACTTGTCGCTGCCCAGCATCCACAGAGAGCGGCACCGCCCGCGTGGTGTCCTCACGTCACCCATGTAGGTAATTGATATTGCAGTACAAGGTTCTCTGCGTGCATGCCACAGCTTGAGTTCGTGGGTGACCGTTGAGACCATGTCCATGCATGCGCGCGATGCATGGGAGCCCACTGGTTGTGCTCGCCTGGTGCAAACGGGAGCAAACCAGCATTGCAGTATATAAATGTTATAATCACATAGATTTTTTCCACATACATGGTCCTCCGCCTCCCTCCGCGTCTCGGCCAATCAACATTCAGAGTGCTGCAGGCACTTTTGCGGTGCACCATTGGCCACAGCAGGGCACTCCTGAGGCAGCAGCTGCAAGAAATGTCTCTTGAATAGTTTGAGACACTTCGTTGATCATGCAGCGCTGCGTGCACCGACGTCCAAGAGGAGATCGTGTGCCGGTGTTGAGCAGAAGTGCATTTTGCGCAGGAGGCCTACAGGCGGCTTCTAGGTGCCCGAGATTATAGATATGTCTTATAGTAATATAGTTTTCTGATAGTTGAGACCTGCCTGTTTCTCGGTCACCAAGGGTGCCCCTCGTGGTCACACCAACTGTTTTGCCATACCCTCTGCCCCCCACCCACTGGACTCTGCCCCTGCCTCGTGGATTTTGATGCAGCTGTTTCTTGCACTTCGCGCGTGCCCTGGCTATGCAGCTGTGAGGACTGCTTGATAAGCACATATACCAGAGTAGAGTAGAGTAGAGTAGAGTAGAGTAGAGTAGAGTAGATTAGAGTAGATTAGATTAGATTAGAGTAGAGTAGAGTAGAGTAGAGTAGAGTAGAGTAGAGTAGAGTAGAGTAGAGTAGAGTGGAGTAGAGTAGAGTAGAGTAGAGTAGACCGGGCGCTGGGCACCCGGTATGTTTGAAGGACGGGCGCAAGGTCAGGGCAAACGCCCGCTTCCCCGCAGCCCCACCGGTGTGGGGGACCTGCGGACCCCACTAGGCGCTCAGGGACACCCAGGTGACGCCCTTCGACTGCCTCTTACGGTGTCGCCTCGCACACACTTTTCGTCCATGACTTTGAGCGGATACATGTGGGACCCTCGCAGCCATTCGCGCACCCCCACAGGGGTCGCGCTCCCGTTTGTGCCTCGTCCTGGCCACCGCGGGTGCCCCTGGCCGGCCCCGCTTCCGCCCAGACCCCTCAAGCGCCCGGCGTGCTGTAATGACCCGGTGGGTGTGGCACAAGGTGCTGCCATGCAGGTCACGGCGTACGCGGGTTGGGCCCATCTGCTCCTATCCCAGCTGCAACAGAACCAACGAAAGGGGCCTGTTGTTTTGGTCAATTCCTGTGGGAAATCCGGTGGATAACGCGGTGTTGTGTGCGCACATAACACCCCAATTCCCATTGACAGCCGGAGTTAATTTGTCCCTGTACTATGGAGGCCAACCCACTGATAAGACACTGCTTATCCGGTGAACATGTTATCATGATTAACAAGTGCTGTTGAGTATTGTTCTTTGTTATCTTGGACACCTGGTTATCTTTCATTTTGGATATCTTCGTTATCTGTTTATCTTGGATAAATGGTTACTTGGATATCTGGTTATGTGCTTTGAACACAAATAACCATGTTATCAAACCACTATTATACGTTATCTGCAGTAACCAGCCAATGAGACCTTGAATATGTGAGCTGCCATCGCTGGCTGTCGTGTGGGTGATCCTGCTACCCACCATCACTCGCTGTCAAAGGTGTGATTATGCCGTCTCTAAACACCAACTGTTACGTTTGCAGTCGCACGTATTGCAACCATCCACTGCGCACCGTGGTGCTTGTGTGGATGCCCTCAAAAAGTACGGATGCTGTGCCCTGCACAAACAGCTCCCAAATGCCCCCTGCAACTCTGCAGCCTACCCATGCCGCCTCTCACCTAGATGCTCCCTCCACCCTCCTTATGAATGGTGCCTACACCAGCGCCGCAAACATGCTAGCACAGTCCACCAAGGGTCCTCAATGCCATTGCCACTGGCGCTGCACCCGTTGCTTCCGCTGTCACCAACCACCCGGCAGGCTGAGCATAGAGCTGTGTGGCGTCCGGGTTCAAGGGCCTTGGCCGAGTGCTCAAGCTCACCTAAGTTGACCGGGTATCGGCGAGGGGCGTTCGTAATGTCACCGAAAAATTGCATCATGCTGGCTGGCTGTGGGGTTTGGGGAGCTTGTAAAATCGCATTGCCCCACTAAATCAATTGATGTGCAGAGCAACCACGTGGCGGGGTGGTAGCGCGGCGCGTACATGAAGCCGACGCCGGTCTGGTCGACGCAGCGCGCGACGCCCTCGGGGCCCAGATCGATCTCCACGCCCAACGCCTGGGGGGACGCAGGTAGTGCAGGTTGATAGTGAAACAGGTCAGCTATCAGTACAGGTAATCAGTTTGATGTTCGAAAGGGTGGTTCGCAACTCAAACGAGTGATCGAATTTGACGGAAGGGTTGGTTGGCAGGGCGGTTGCGTGCGTGTGCATTCGTGTTCTGGGGGGAGGGGGGCTGCAGCCACGGGTCTCATAAGCGGAGGGCCGCGCCGCTGAGGCGGCTGGCAAGCAGGGCCGGAAGGTGGAGGGCTCCAGGGCCACGACGGCGGGGGCGAAAGGGCGGCGTCGTGGGCGGCCCCAGCTGCAGGCCGTGCGGCCCCATTCCCCAAGAGTGGCGCTGCCAGGGCGCGACGCAAACGGCCCCCCTGCTGCCCCGGCCGCGTGCTGATTGCTCTGGTGCCACCGCCCTGTCCCCATCAGGCCGGGCGGCCCACGGGGCGAGCCCGGCCCCATCAAATCCAGCACGCCGTCGCCGGCCTTTCAACCCCTCGACCCCGGCCCGAGCCGGCTCGCACAGGCAATCCACGTTTTTATTCGAAGCTTCAATCCCAGTCAGCCCGAGACGGGCCGCCCCGAAAAAATACACCGTGCACGCCCCCCGCGCCGCCCGCGGGGCCCCGCGCCCACCTCCAGCACGTCCGCGCTGCCGCAGAGGCTCGACACCGAGCGGTTGCCGTGCTTCGCCACGCGCCCGCCCGCCGCCGCGACGATGACGCTGGCGCCGGTGCTGATGTTCACCGAGCCGATGCCGTCGCCGCCGGTGCCGACGATGTCGACGACTGTCATTTTTAACCAGGTTGGCAGGATGCATCGGCGGTTTCGTATTTGTGACATCATCAGGGTCGCTTTGTGGTGATAGCAGCATCCGGGCAGTGCGTGCACTCGAAAACGGGAAGCCCCCAAGGCGTGGCTGCCAGCCAGCCGCACAGCGCGCCGCCGCCGCCCTCGGCACCAACCTCTCCGCGCGCCCGCCTTTCTGTTCATCCGCGGCCTGTCACCATCCACTCCCCGAAACGACACGCCCGTCGCGCCCGCCGCCGGCCGCCCGCTGTCGGCCGCCGTCCGGCGGGCACAGGCTTCCGCTGCCCCTCCCTCCGCCGTCCCGACCGGGCCAGGAGCGTCGAGATTGACACCACCACCCTTCCCCCGCCCCTCCGCCGCCGCATTAGTAATCTCACCGCCCTTTGCTGTCTCCACGTGCAGGCCGTGCTGCAGGAACGCCCGCGCCATGCCAGCGATCTCGTCGGGCGTCTCGCCCTGCATGTGAAGATGCGATTCATTGCATCACACATGAGGATGCGGGAGGCCGGGGCCGTGGAACGGGCGCTGACCCTCGGCGTCGCATGGCGCGCGGCGCTGACATGTGTGACGGGCCGGGGCCGCTGCTGTGTTGGACGGCCTGGGCGCGTAGCGAGGCGCGTCTCGCGCTTGCAGCTTCCGGGCAGCTGCCGAGCTTGCACGCGGCCCGCCGCGAGGGTCCGGGCTGCGCCGCACTGCGCGCCCGCTGCGGCGCCCGCTGCGGCGCCCGTTGCGGCGCCCATTGGGGCGCCGTGCGCGCTGCCCATGAGACACGGCCGCGCGCCGCCGCGCCCCGCACCTTGGCGCGCAGCAGCACGAGGAACGCTGCCGTCTGCTCCGGGGAGAAGTCGTCCAACACGCCCTGCGGCGCGGCGGCAAGAACGCCGCAGCGCGGCGCAGCGCAGGCAAAGGGCGATCACGGTTTGTGCGCTGGGGCCCGGGGCACTCTGGCTGATGGGGCGCGAGCACCGCGTTGAGCACGACTTGCGTACGTGCTGCTGGCTTCCGCACGGGCCGCTGCCGTGCTCCTAAACGGAGTCGATGTTTGTCACGTGTTCCAGTCTGGTGCTGGGGCCGGCTGCGCACACCCGCCCGACGCGTCCGGCTCACCAGCAGTGCGTCTTCAAACTGCTACTGCGACAGGTCTTGCCGCGCGATGAGCGCCTCGATAATCTGCAGGGGTTCTGCGTGTCACAATTCGAGCCTTTTCATCGGCTTTAACGAAATTGAGAGCCGTACCTCCTTCATTGGCTGTGCTGCTGCACGAGTGCTCGATCTGCTGCTCGGCACCCGGCGCACTGTAGGCCGCACGCTCGCACACGAGGGTGTGTAGATTCCACCATGGGCTGGCCGCCCGGTGCGGGGTGCGTGGATCAATGCCGCGTCCCGTTAGTAAACTCGCTAGGTGGGTTGAGCAACAAGCCGGCCTGACGCAAGAGCTAGACACAGAAGAAGGGGAGATGACATCATACTTCTAGACGACGCTGCCCATCTCGCTGCATGATCACTCATCCCTAGCTGGCAGCTGGGCAGGTGCCACCTCGACGCCTGCCCCGCGGTCGGCATGTGTGCCGCTGGCGATGCTAGAATGGTGTTCATGAAATACAAGAAAGCTTATCAGCATGCTTCCTTGCCGGTCATGCGCAGAGTGGCAGTCCAAGGGAGGTGGCGCTTGGACGAACTGCGCTGCAACCGACCACATTCCTCAGGCCCTGACGAACGTGAAATTGCTAGGACCCACTCACAGTGCGTGCGATGCAGCATTGAAATCACTGAGCGCGTGTGCGATGCCGCATTAAAAGCACTGGGGTGCGATTACTGACCAACTGACGGTTTGCCGAGCGGGCCACCCGCCTGCCACTGGGCGACGCATGCGCACCCAACACCCCCTGTGACGGATTTCAATTACACAGATTGAGCTAATGCGATGTGTTCGGTATGAAAGGTCAGGATATTGCACTGCAGCAGCGCTCTGATCCGACCGATTGCCAAGCTGGCAGCGAGGGACAGCAGAGACAGCATCTCAGGCAACACCCCTAGTCGACATGCATCGATGCGGTGGAGTTGTACAATTTGAAGGGGCATGCTTTGCAATGGCGGTTGGTTTTGCGCCTGCCGTAGGCTTGCGCGCTGCCAGCACAGGGGTGGCCCTGTGGCCGCAACCAGCAGGCAAGGATGGCATCCCGGGGCCGGGGGTATGACAGTGACAATCAGGAAGCGGCCCTGCGTGCCTCTTGCTGGTCTGTTGAAATACGGTCAACAGCTTGA